TTTAGGGACCCGAAGACTGTTAGAGATTTTAGACCTATTAGTCTAATTGGGTGCCAATACAAAATTATTGTTAAACTTTTAGCTAATAGGTAAGCAGAAGTTATTGGCTTAGTTGTGAGTATGGAATAGACTTCTTTTATCAAGGTTAGAAAAATCTTAGATGGGCCTTTTCTTCTTAACGAGGTGGTATCTTAGTGTAAGGCATCAAAAAATCTACTTTTGATCTTTAAAGTGGATTTTGAAAAAGCCTATGATTCTCTTTCATGGGAGTATCGTCATGAAATTATGGAGATTATGGGGTTTTGTTCGAGATAGTGTGGTTGGATTATGGAGTTGCTTCACTCTGCTAGGGCTTTGGTGTTGGTTAATGGTTCCCCTTCCAGATACAGATCGGGTTCAGATAGGTAGATCCACTTTCTCATTTTCTTTTTATTTTAGCTATAGAGGGTTTGCATGTTGCCCTAATCAAGGTTAAGGCTGCTAATGTATTCAAGGGCATTTCTATCAGTGGCATTGATATTTCTCATCTTATGTTCGCTGATGATGTAATGTTGCTTTCTCTTTGGTCGTTGGAGATCGCTAATCATATTTTTCATATTCTTCGATGTTTCTACCTAGCTTCGGGTCTTAAAATTAACTTGTATAAACGTAAGTTAATTGGTGTGGGAGTTGCTTCTTCCTAGGTGGTTATTACTGTTGAGCATATGGGGTGTGTCTCAGATTCTCTTGCTTTCTACTATCTCGGAGTTCCAGTGGGTCAAAACATGTCTAGGGTCAATGCTTGGTATCCAATTATTGATAGATTTCGAAGTAGGTTGGCTGGTTGGAAGGAAAACCCTTTCATTTGGCGGCAAGATGACTATAATAAACTTGGTTTTGGGTTCCATGGGTAGTTATTTGATGTCAGTTTTTTCTACTCCGGTCACAGTTCCCAATCTCTTAGAATCCTTAAGGGCTAGGTTTTTTTGGGGAGCAGATTTGGACGATAGATGCATACACTGGGTCAAGTGGGATAATGTTTTGGCTCTTAAATTGAATGGAGGCTTGGGAGTTGGGAGTTTGTTCTCGTTTAATAGATCAATGATTTTCGGTGGCGCTGGAAGTTTTTTTTTACTCTCCTGATCTTATTTGGGTGAGGGTTGTGAAAGCTATTTATGATTTCGATGGAGGTTGTGTCAATTTGATTCCTTTGAGGTATGGGATGGGGCCTTGGAATTGTATGATTCTGATGCTAGCCCATCTCCGTGACTATAGTTTAGATATTCATTCTCTTTCTCTAATTTGTGTGGGTGATGGGGCTACTTTTAAATTTTGGCAAGATGTTTGGAAAGGAGATGCCCCTCTTCAGACGATGTTTCATAGGATATATTCTTTGGATCAACACCAGTACATGTCCATTATAGCTCATATGTCTCTAGGATGGGGTGAGGAAAATTAAAGATGATTGTGAAGGGGTGGCATTGAGCAGGTTCAATGGGACCAATTCATGTTGTTGATGTAGAGTGTGCTTCTTCTTAACACTCCAAACATATTTGGGTGGCTCTGTGATGCGTCAGATGTTTTTTCTGTTGCTTCGACTCGTTCTCTTCTTGACAATAGATTTCTTTTAGCGGATGACATGGAAACTAGATTGAATAATTGGGTCCTAATCAAACTCAATGTTTCTATCTAGAGGCTATCGTTATAAAGAATACCTACACGAGAGAAATTATCTTATAGAGGTATCTAGGTGGAGTTGATTTTATGCCCTGTTTATCATAATTGTATGGAGACTATTGAACATCTCTTTGTTGGTTGTAGTGACTTGTGTGATATTTGGACCCGTGTTGCTATATGGTGGGATGTTCCACTTCCAGACTGTTTCTCTACTCATACCTTACTTTCTTGGGCGTATTAGGTTTCCTTGAAGGGAGGACAACGGAAGGCGTTTGATGCTATGGTTATGAGTACTTTTTGATGTCTTTGGAATTTCTGTAATTCATCTCTGTTTGGTTTGTCTACTCCTAGGAAATCTCTTATTTTAGATGATGTCATAGATAGATTGTATTTTTATATTTCCAATAGGTATAGTAAAGGTAAGATTATTTGGACTATAGATGGTATTTTTGGATTTCCAATAGGTATAGTAAAGCAAAGATTATTTGGACTGTCTGGCTTCATAACCCACCTTTATCTTCTTTTATTTTGTAATGAGGCTTTTCTAGCTTCTGGCTAGTTTTTTTATAATACATCCGCCGTTAAAAAGAAATAAACTAATAAGCAGTCTTTACAAAAAAAAAACATAAATGTTTTAAATAAGAAAATCCAAAAATACCCCTTAAAACAACTTTCTTATTATTTGATGACATTATCCTGTACTTATATTATATATGAATGCACAAAAGTTGTCTCTGATCTATACATGGAAGAGAGACTAGTTGATTAAGACAAGCAACATAATTAACTTCATGATGTGGCTAAATTACCACTACCGAGCAACAATACATCTTATAACATGGTTTTTAATTACATGAAACAGAAGTACCAAAGATATATAGTTCAACTATATAACATTTTCATTTAAATCTTCAAGTTTCATAAACTCTAAGTATGACTTACCCTCAAGCTTTTTATCAAAAAAGCCCTTGTAATATTCCTCAAGGGTGAGTCGTGGGAACTTTGCTACATTATGTTGTTCAACGAGGCTTTTTGCAGGGCCTAATTCCGCACCCATACTGGAGCTGTAGAATGTGGCCACCGATAACCTCTCCTTGTTTGACTGCACTGTTGCACAATGCTCTATGCTCTTATACACACCATTACTTACAATCTGCAAACACATACAATTAGGGAACAATTCAATTTGGTTCATTTTTGTGTTTTTCACTATTTTTAGATACATAACCAAAAACAATAATCAAACACATGGAATTTTTGATTATATCATTATACTTTCATTTCATCATATTACAACATTGTATTTTGAAAAATCTACCAATTTAATCATTATACTTTCATTTCATCATTTCATCAAAATACAAAACAATTTTCAATGCTAAAATTACATTGACTTTTGAAGTATAATATCGTAACGAGGGAAAAAGTAGAAGCACATTGCTATCATTTTATAGATATTTTATCATACAACATGGTAATAAGAAAAAAATGTAAGTACTTTGTTTTAATATTAAAAAATGAAAATAGGATGTCATATAAAAAGTATAACTTCAAGCATGCATAATGTTATTAGCTGCATTTAGCCCATAACCAATCAAGTGACGAACTGTAAAAACGATGTCACAAAAGATATGGTTTCGTTTGGTTTTTAAAAAAAAAAAAAGGCTAAGCCTTAAAGTTTCGAGGTCTTACTCCTTTAAAACAAAAATCCAAACAAACTCACTTTTCGGTTTCTTAAAAACATATATATCAAATTCAAATGCTAATAAGACACCCCTTAGACACTCTATAATCATTTCTATAAAAAGTCAACCTGTAATCAACTACTTGTAATCATTTTTTTCGGAAAACAATGCAATCTCAACCAATAAAATTATTCTTAGATTAGGTCCCTTGTGTTAGTTATTTTAGGGACATAAAGTGAGAATAACGGGAATGGGTAACTGGGTTTTTGTTGGTTGATAATAATTAATTTAATTATTTATTGTGGGTTGAAAACCCTATATGCTCACCAGGCTCCCAAGCCTGACCCACTCAGTTTTATTTGTATTACAGAAAGTGGCGGAAGGGCATGAGATGGACGAACCATCAAGTTGTTTTGTTTACAAGTCTGCATATGTTTATATTTGTTATATGACTTGTAATGTATTCGTTTATGCTTATTGGTCTATATCGGAACATGACACCTCGAGTTTTGATTATAATGAAAATACATTTCTTTTATGAAATGCTTTGGTAAACATTGTTTTATCATGTTTTGTTTTTGGGAACAAATTCCGCAACTCTTTCAAATCAAAAGGATTTACTCTGAAAATATTTAAAAACATAAGTGAAAATCGGTCTTTTTTGGCCGGGATTTTGGGGATGTCACACATTGCTATTAATGACAAGCCCAGAAACACAGGCGTTAGATATCACGGGTTTGAATCTTCCATCGTTACTCCACCTCCCGAGACAGGTGATCGGCTGCCAATAGTAGCAGATGCTATCGAGAGTTATAAAGTTATAGAAAAGATGCACGATTCTCCTATTCATTCAAAATAGCCGCTTCACATATGGTTGTTCACAATGCTAAGTATTGAAGTGGTAGTGCACCTGTTGGTTTTTTTGGAGGAAATGAACGAATGTCTGGTATTGATGCTTCAGAATATAACTTGATACACCCCCCTCGGGGTTTTCTAATTTAGCGGGTGAAGGTGGTTTTTCACATGGTTCTTTCAATCGTTTTTCTTTCTTGGATGAAATACAAAAAACTTTGGACATCAGGAGATCTATAGGATATAATACGGATGGTTGTTTTGATCGAGTAAAGGAGCATGTTGAAGGTCATAAGGGTAGAAAAGTATTTCCATGAATTGTCTTTCTATTTATTTCCAAGGAGCAGGATATTGTGACAAGCGAGGGTGGGTTAGATCCTTATGTTCTAAATATAAGGTAAATTTTTTAGCCATTCAAGAAACAAAGTTCGAAAATATATATTTGATGGCGGTTTGTTCTTTTTGGGGGAATTTGTATTTTACTCATATTTCCATTACATGGGAGATTATTTTCGATAATTATATTGCAGTTAAGAGTGTTTGGTTAACTTCGGGTCTTCACATTTTGGTTGTTTTGATATATGCTCCTCAAGCTGTTGAGTCGAAAAAGGTAGCTTTGGTTGTAGCTTCATCAGATGTTCGTATCTTTGATGGAGAATGTGTGTTGATGGGGGATTTTAATGTTATTCGAGATGAGTCAGAGAGGTTGGGTTCCCAGTTCCATCTAACACTAACTACTACCATCAATCAATTCAAATTTTAGTGGGGATATTTGTTATACTATTTCCCTCATCTTTCTAGTGTGGTTTTGGAGAAAAATGTTCCAGATCATCGCCTAATTCTTCTTTTAGAGCATAAAGTTGATTATGGTCCGACTCTGTTTCGTATATTCCATTCTTGGTTTAATATGATGGGATTTGATGATACAGTCCATCTTTCTTAGTCCCAATTTCATATGGGGGTGTTTCAGAACAATCCTTGGATTATCTTTAAGAAAAAATTGCAAAACCTTAAAGCTAGTATTCATTTATAGATTTGAAGTTCTCAAAATAGGTTCAATTCCTAGAGAAATGAATTGTAGGAACTCCTTGAGTCGATTGATTCTTGTCTTATGACTGATAACGTTCACCTAATCTCTGGGAACAAAGGATTACGGTCCAGAAAGATATGTCTGGCTTCATAACCCACCTTTATCTTCTTTTATTTTGTAATGAGGCTTTTCTAGCTTCTGGCTAGTTTTTTATAATACATCCGCCGTTAAAAAGAAATAAACTAATAAGCAGTCTTTACAAAAAAAAACATAAATGTTTTAAATAAGAAAATCCAAAAATACCCCTTAAAACAACTTTCTTATTATTTGATGACATTATCCTGTACTTACATTATATATGAATGCACAAAAGTTGTCTCTGATCTATACATGGAAGAGAGACTAGTTGGTTAAGACAAGCAACATAATTAACTTCATGATGTGGCTAAATTACCACTACCGAGTAACAATACATCTTATAACATGGTTTTTAATTACATGAAACAGAAGTACCAAAGATATATAGTTCAACTATATAACATTTTCATTGAAATCTTCAAGTTTCATAAACTCTAAGTATGACTTACCCTTAAGCTTTCGATCAAAAAAGCCCTTGTAATATTCCTCAAGGGTGAGTCGCTGGAACTTTGCTACATTATGTTGTTCAACGAGGCTTTTTGCAGGGCCTAATTCCGCACCCATACTGGAGCTGTAGAATGTGGCCACCGATAACCTCTCCTTGTTTGACTGCACTGTTGCACAATGCTCTATGCTCTTATACACACCATTACTTACAATCTGCAAACACATACAATTAGGGAACAATTCAATTTGGTTCAGTTTTGTGTTTTTCACTATTTTTAGATACATAACCAAAAACAATAATCAAACAGATGGAGTTTTTGATTATATCATTATACTTTCATTTCATCATATTACAACATTGTATTTTGAAAAATCTACCAACTTAATCATTATACTTTCATTTCATCATTTCATCAAAATACAAAACAATTTTCAATGCTAAAATTACATTGATTTTTGAAGTATAATATCGTAACGAGGGAAAAAGCAGAAGTACATTGCTATCATTTTATAGATATTTTATCATACAACATGGTAATAAGAAAAAAATGTAAGTACGTTGTTTTAATATTAAAAAATGAAATTAGGATGTCATATAAAAAGTATAACTTCAAGCATGCATAATGTTATTAGCTGCATTTAGCCCATAACCAATCAAGTGACGAACTGTAAAAACAATGTCACAAAAGATATGGTTTCGTTTAGTTTTTTAAAAAAAAAAAAAAGGCCAAGCCTTAAAGTTTCGAGGTCTTACTCCTTTAAAACAAAAATCCAAACAAACTCACTTTTCGGTTTCTTAAAAACATGTATATCAAATTCAAATGCTAATAAGACACCCCTTAGACACTCTATAATCATTTCTATAAAAAGTCAACCTATAATCAACTACTTGTAATCATTTTTTTCGGAAAACAATGCAATCTCAACCAATAAAATTATTTCAAACATTAATCAGGGTTGTCTAAATGGTAAAATAGGGTATCTTTTGAGCCAACCCCTAATGTAATTCATATGAATGAAACTTTGGATCATTTAATTACCTCCATTATGTCCCCAATGTTTACTACCAAAGCATTTGGCAAAGGTTTAACGGATACCCAATTTCCCTCTTTCCGAACTTGGAGGCCATCAGTTTCATTTAATTGATAGAGGATTGTTAACCCAGTGGCATCAGAATGTGGGGAGATCCCTAACGCTGACTCTGGTTCTGGACATGGGGGATAGTAATTCATTCTCATCAACTGAACCCCATCATCAAACAATTCACTCATTTCCTCTCCATCAATCCCTAGAGCTTTAGCCATTTCACCTAAGATGGCTTTTGCTAGCTTTTTCATATCTGTAGAGTATGCTTCCAACTTCTCCCTGACAATTAAAGAATATTAAACCGACATAAGTTGTCATTGTTGTCATGTCGCTGTAGATGCCATTCATTGTAGTAGTGATAACACCAAATTTGGTGTTATACTATTTTTTTTACATGATTTTTATGCAAGAAATGTTGGTGGGTTGGATCGGAGGTGAATCACTTTTTGTTGAATTAAACAATGTATTTTTGAAAATCTTTATAAATTGGAAAAAGGTACTATACTTTAACATATTAATTTTTTTGGTGTTCAAAATTTTGTAGTGGGTTGTAGATAAATCACTTGCACCAAACATATGTTAGCATTAGTTTGGTGCCAAAATGGTGTTATTCGATAATGATATTAAAAAATTGTGTAAAAATGGTGCCAAAGATGGGATTTGGTGTGAGTTGGAGATGCCCTCTGTATCATAATCATTTTATATATATATATATATATATATATATATATATATATATATATATATATATATATATATATATATATATATATATATATATATATATATATATCCAATCCAAAAAACACAATGGAAACTTGTACGCTAAAAGGTTTCATATCGAGATGGAAGAAAGAACCTCAGAACGGGAGGTAACTTCTGAAATAATTTGGAATTTCTGATATTATGTGGAAGGGTATTTACGTAAAACATGTCACACCAATCAAGCTTCTGTTCCTCGGATACAACAAAAAGCTGACCGAAACCTTCTTGGCTGTCTTCTTTCTGCCAAAGCTTTTGTTTCTCCTCCATCGGAAGCTTAAAGAAGCTCAAGACTTCCCTCTTGAAATCCTCTAATAGGGATTCACTTATTCCATGGTTGATAACCTGTTTTAATCAAGCATACCAAATTTCTTACAAAAATCATTGCAGATACTTTGGATTTTATCACGATTTTGCTATCCTAACCACAAACACCATTTAATAAGGATTAAACAGAGACACGTACGTAGAGTTGGTGAACGCTTACCTGAAAGAAACCCCATTCTTTAGCAGCTGTATGAAGTTTACTGAGCTCATAGGAATACGTGGAAGATTGAGAATCGATTGAAAATAAGATGTGAAGATCAATGACAGGTACAGAGAGAATCGAGGTGTCATCGGATGAAGTGAGTAAGGGTTTCTCATGATCTTGGCGAACATAACGAGGTGGGATCTTTGTCATGGATTGCTTAGCAAGTTCTTGAACACTTGGTACTATCAGTGATCTCCCGAAACTGATACCTACATCCATGTGATTTTCCATGGACAGTAAAGTCTACAAAAATACTACGCCTATATATAATCGAAAGAAAGCTGATATACTATTCTAAACTACTGTACCTTTTACACATGTTTTCGGGTATTTATTAATAATATGGTGAGTAAATTACATAAATGGTCCCTTATGGTTGATGGTGTGTCTCACTCTCATTCCAAGTTTTTTTTTCTAACGATATGCTCTATGTGGTTGTATTTTGTCTTGGTGTTGGTCCTACCTTCATGGAACGTTAGTTTGCTTGATTCTCGCATGTTCTTTAGAACAGCGACACATTATGACATACTCCTAAAACCACATATATTTGGACTTAAACTATTAATCCTATGAACAAAAGACATCTCACTACACAGTTGGATCAAATGTGTTTTGGTGTTTCTCACATAAGCGCATAACAACCATTTCCTTGGACCAAAGGTCTTTTGGTGTTTCTCACATAATAACAACCATTTCCTTCGCCCTTACTCTAGTGTGCATGAGTATCACATAATCACACTATATAAGCATGTAGCGATCGTATCATTTTCCACTCCAATCATTTCATAGGGGTGTACTCATAGACAATCACACTAATTTTATTATTATTTTTATTTAATACAAATATAAATAAAAACAATATAAATATAAGATTAATTAAAATTAATACCATTTTATAAATTCAAAAGAAAATTATATAACAAAAGTAATAAAAGATACATATTTCAATCACTAACCGACTTTTTCATACCACTACAAGGTCGTCGTCTTCCAAATCATCGGTTTTCATGATGGTTTGGGTTGGGCTTTGGGGACGAATAATTCAAATTGTGTTTCGATGACCAATATATGCGTTATGGGAGGAGTTTCGAAATGTTGTATATTAGGATGAAATTGTTCTGATGAATTGAGTAAATTGGTAAAATTCAGTTGTATGTAGGAACAAGATTTTCGTAGCGATAGAAAGGTTGTTTACTTATGGTCCTTGTTTTTGTGAAATAGATCAATTGAAAATGATTTCAATGATGCTCATTTCACAATCCCATTCCCTTTTGTAAATGTAAGAAAACCAAACTCTTGCCATTTACTGTAATCTGTTAGATTCAAAACTTATATGCAATGATTCTCTTGTAACGATTATGCACAAAAGTCACAAAGACTTGGCAACAGACATTACAAAGTATTTCAATGGAGATCCATTCCATGGAAACGAAGTCTCAAATTCAAAGTACATTCATTTGAACATCCTTCTTGCATTAAGTTCTCTAATCTTACACAGATTCAAAGAATAACTTCCACCTATGGAGACAATTCCATATTACCATTTTGACCATTACTTCTGACAAAGAGTTTTCTTTTTTCAAAATATGTCAATATGGTCCTTACTCTATACTTCTAATAGTCCATGAGCAACCAATCTTTGGTAAACCTCAGATTGTCCTCGACAATTTGCTTAATCATTTTAGTCATTTCCAGTTCTATTCCTTTTTCCATCTTAATGCCCTAGGCATTTGGAAAATTAAGAACGAATTATAGCACATGTACTCGAACCTATACCCGAAGCATATAGGACATGATTCATGCTATAAATTTTTATTTGCCATGTTCTCATAATTCGAACTATGAAGAGGTACGCCGTAATCATAATCGAATTTTGAGAATACAACATATACAGAATTTCCTTATATTGAACCATTCCAACATAACATATATATATATATATATATATATATATATATAATATATATATATATATATATATATATATATATATATATCGTTGACTAAAGTTGATTAAAATCTCAATCTAAGCCTGTAGAATTAGAATGAAGTATAAAATCCTCTCCTTTAATTATAACAAAACAACTTTTCAAAGCAAATTGAAACTTTTGTTTTCTATAATTAACATTGCTAACTTGTAACACTTAACATAATAATCATGCTCCCACTAGCATAATGATTATTATCTTACTAGTATAACACTTATGCTCCCACTAGCTCTGACATGTATCCAGAAATCAGCTGGACTTCAAGAAATCAATACTTTATTGACTTTCTTACCAAAGTTCAGTTTTTTTATACGAGATGCATTGATAAGACTTTATCAAAATCATACACCTTTCCTTAGATAGCTCACATGTGTGTCTAAACAATTTTAGAACTATGAAAAGGGATGTCGTAATCATAGTCTCAATTGTTTAGACCTTTGCCATTTCTCACAAGTCTATGTTAGTGTGTCGGCTAACTGCACGCGCTCCACTAACGACTTTGAGAATGCAAAGATTACAATTGCTATCTACTTAAAATCTACTTAGTGAAAGCGGTTCCTCACCATCGTTTTCATGAATCGGAGAGAGACCTTATGACACTTTAGATTTTATGTGGTGTAAGAGTTCCTATCCATGTGAATTTGTCATAACCATAATCACAAGACAAGGTCAGTAGCAAATCCAAACACATATGAACTAAATGTCATGCGCTAATGATTAACAATACTCTTGATTAGTTCTTGAAATTATTTCAGTACTCCCACTTTCCTCTTGACATATAAGTGTTGGATATAGTGTCTAAGTCCATAACTATGTACTTGACCCGACCCGGCATGGTCCATTTGGGTTGCATGGCATTGCAATACTTGGAAAGACAAAATGAGAGAAAGTACACTTGTGATTATTAATATATTATAAGTTCTAATATATTAATAATAGTATTATTTAATTAGTATTGATCAAGTATTAATCTAGTATTAATTTTGTGATCAAAGTGAGACTAATTAAATATATAGGGTTGATTATGACAAGCATCAATTCTTTATGGTGGATTAATGATCCATGGTTTATGGGTTTGGTAATAACCATATGGAGCTTCATGGATAGTCCATGGGAGTTACAAACCCATGGGTCATGAGAAATGAAGAGTCATGACAATTAGGGTTTTACACTTGTAACTCCTAATTATGACACACTATAAAAGAAACCCTATAGCATGCAAAATCGGCACTAAGGTGTTTCTAGAGAGGGAATAACCAATTTTCAAGTGTAAGAAGTATTCTCTCAAGTTATTCCAAGTTTTGTAGTGTTGTGTGAAGCATTTGAGGCACAACATTTAGGGTGCTAGGCTCACAAACTCTTGAAGGAATCCAAGCAACAACAAGGTATGTATTTCTACTAGCTTTATGTTTTATATATTCCCCATGCCATGCTAGTTAGGAAATAACCTTGAAAAGGAATTTGCATGCATATAGAGAAAACATAGATTCAAGGTTATTAGGGTTGCATGTACAATTAGGAAGTGTTAGAGTACTTGATGCAAAACTGCTTGAAAAATCGAAAAATCTGCTCACTGACGACTGGACTCTCCGAGTTCATTGGGAGGAATCGCTGAGTCCATGAACAAATTCATCCTACTCGTCGAGTAGGATCATGCAATTGATGAGTAGGAGCGTGCTGGGCAGTTTTTCAAGTTTCGTTGCTGGAAATGGATTAAAATCATTATCCTAATCTGTGTTGGACTTATAAAATCTGTTTTTCATAGTGATAATGATTATGTTAACCCATTTTACATGACTTTTATCAATTTTCAAGTATTGTATATATTTATATGATTTATTGAAATTGCTTAACATGAATTTGTGTTCTTATGAGTTTTTAGAAGATCATAGGAATTATGTGTAACCTCCATGTGTGTTTAATTCATGATCTTAATGGCAATGATGGTGTCCATAACTTGTCCTCAAGTTATGGATAACCAAAAGTCATTTCTTTAAAAGTTGTCATTAAAGAATAGTAGGTTTCATAAAATGAAGAGTCTTCAACTTTATGAACCATTAAAACTCATAAGTTACAAATTTGAAGAGTCTTGAAATAGTTTCAAAACTTGCCCTCAAGTTTTAGAATTTTTAAAGTCTTACACTTTAATTCCAAATTAATTTTTTTTAAAAGTTCAAATATTCAAACTTTATGGACTTCATTAAATTAATTAAAGTGTTTAATTAAAGGAGTTAATAATTCCATACAGACATGGTTTCAGTTTAATTAAATTAAGAGTATAGTTTAATAATAGATTAAACCACCAAGTATTTTAAATGTTTAAAATACACCCTTATACTATTATTATAATTTTAATTATATAGATATGTATAAGAATGTGTCATTCTTATCATTAGTAGGCCTCATTCACAAAGCCAGTCTATAAGGGGGGGGGGGGTATAAGGTTGTTGCCTTTAAAATGGTGACTTAATGGGTGTCCACTCTTACCCACCGCTTCCTTGATCGGTGGAGGGTCATTAGCCGAACAGGTAGGATACGACTTTAAATACTCATTAAAAGTATAATGAATTATAAAGTAACTATATATTATAAATTCCCAATCTTAGTTACTTTAGGAAAATGTGAATTTTGTGCTAACCCATAAAATTACACTTTGTTCCTTACCAAGTCGTTAGTGGAGCGTGTGTGGTTAACCGACACACTAACATGGACTAGTAAGAGTGTCAAAGGGTAACTTGACTTTATTATAGATCAGTGGAGCGTGTGTGGTTAACCGGCACATCGATTAAGAAATATTGTTGAGGGTACCAAGTCAATTTGTATGGTTATTCACACCTTGTTTGTGATCCTCGGCATCCCAGTCACAAACTTGAGAGGGCACAATCGAGATTCAAGCATGCCGTTGAAAGTTCAATGTATCTCAAAAGATCTAGGAGTTTCAAATCCAATTAAAACTTAATTATATTTCGTTTTTGATGGTGAAAATTGGTAAATAGTCATCTACCTACCTTTAACTATTTTATAATTTGGATTACGGCATCCCTCTTCTAGTTATAAATAGGTTATTGGGTCCTAGCCTTAATATTTCATATTGGATGTTATATTAAGGACTTTAAATCAACTAAATTGAATTTCTTCCATTATAAATGTCTAGTTTAGACAGCTATGGTCTTCCCAAATCTTTAGGAAAAAGCTTCCTAATGAAGATGATATCCCAAATGGCAACCAAGGTGAAAGATCAATCCTTTTAGTGGGACTGGAAATCATACTTCACTTCCTCCACCTCCTCAAATAAATCTCCCCATCCCAC